TTTTCACGACTGGGAAGTTGGCTTAGCATTTAACTTTCATAAGAACATTTTGGCCTGGAGGCATCTGTATTACAATTTCTTTCTTGGCTTAATAAAAGGTATCACATTATCTACCTGGTCAATCTCTATTGGCTTTCAAAATAGAGACATGGAAAAACCTAATAAGCCTCATTAGGATATCTGCTTTAAAAACAACAGGCTGCCTCATTTAGCATGTTGCTTTGAAATGTCCCAGCAGAGCTGGGTGGTCACTGCTTGAATACAGGTATTGCTAATTTGGGATCTTTGTCAGTCTGGTAGCTCTGGGGAAAAAAAAAAAAAAGCGTAATGTGTAGGTGGAATTTTAATACACAGGGGATCAAGCCCTGATTGTTGTATTTTGTTTTTGTTTTCCTTCTTTCTTTCCTTTAATCCCACTTTTTGTCCACATGGCCATGTGTGAGAGATGGCTTGATTTTCTTGATATGGTTCAGCCATCCACAGCTGGAATTCCAAAGAAGACTGAAAATGTCTTTAAAATCAACACAACTCAGGGAGCCTCAGAGAACAAGTTTTCCTTTGTTGTAGGGTATAGTATTATTTGCTGTAGGTTTTTTGATATACATTCTAAATTAGGCCTGCAAAGGCATGCTTCATCTTTAATTCATCACTCTCAGCTGAAAGAGATTAGCAATGTCTAGCACGCACCCCTCGTATGGTGCTGACCTCATCAAGTATGGCCTGAAATTAATTAGCCTCATTCATTCCAAATGGAAAAGGATAATGGAGCAGCATTTTAGAGATGACCATCACAAATTGTTTGCAGCATATTTAAAAGGCCCCTATTTTCAAACCATGTAGATTAAAATTCTTTCTAGGGCCAGAGTTATCAGGGACTCAGAGCAAAGCCTGGTCAGGTTTCGTGTATGTATGTTTGTGTGTGCGCATGCGTGTGCGAGTGTGCGTGCCTGCCGAGTTGTTTATAGTATGGCTGTTAGAGCCTGTGTATGGATGTGTCCGTGTTTAGCTGGGTTTGCTGCCCAGTATGACACCTGGAATACTTGACCAACAAAAATCTGATGTTTAATACTGTCTTAAAGGGCGCAGTAATAGAATACGTTAGTGGATCTTTTTTGTGTGTGTTTTAGCGTAAAGTGGGCATACCAGCGCAAACTTTGCTATTTTCCCGTAAGATGCTATTCATCCTCTAATTTAGAAACAGAAAAGCCTCTTAAAGAAATGCTCAATTTTTCTATTTTGAGTTATTTTTGAAACTTTCTATGACTCTTCCCAGTCTTTATTGTTTGATCATATTTCAAAACATGATTGAGGACTAACTTGGATTAGAGAATCACTTAAATTTACCATCTTTCTAAGATTAGCTGATTTTTTTTCCCTTCTGGGGATTGACTAAGGGAGGCCAAATTTTTGAATATCAAAACTGCTTTCTTTTCCAGCCAAAAAAATCTTGACCGGGCTTCTTTGGGATTCTCAAAGATGTTGTAAAGTTTATTTTTATGAGCAGTCATTTGGGGACTACAGATTAGAAGAAGAAGAAGAAAAAAAACCCATGACATTTTCTGTTTTTAGGTTTTAATTTTTAAAATAACATAAAATATGGTCAATTTATGAAAAGGTATTAGTAGTATTTGGGGGAATTTTATCTAGTGCTCATTTCTTAAGGAAAAAAATTAATTCCAGAATAACTTTGTTTGGTTAAATTAAGAAGTAGATATTCAAAGTAATGTAACTAGAAAGCTTCCACTTAACTGTTAGAGTGAAAAATGCACTTTTAGGTTAATAATCTTTTTAGGGTGCATTGATATATTAATCTCTATATGCAAGTTATTTAAGATTATTTCATCTTATAATAAAAGAGAAGCTGGAAGCATGTTGCCCCTATCTCGGCAAATGTAGGATTTAGAAATTTCTCTAGGCTCACTTTTGCCTAATTTTCTCATCCCAGAAGGCCCCTTTATCTAATGGGCATATATCATTTATATGTACAAGATCATCAATCAAACTGTGGACCTATCATTTTGACATAAAAGATCTATCCTTAAATCTCCTCAAACCTCTGGCATATAATTTGAGGAAATTAGCTAGTTTAAGGTCTGAATTTCTGACTTCTGGGGGATGAAATGCAAAAATGGAGAAAGCTTAAATTATACAAATTTGATTTTAAAGTCACAGTTTAACTGAGCCAGTGATAAAAGATGATGCAGTGCAGATCTTGAAATGTCGATGGAAATAGATAATTTTGTTAATTATCATCTGGTCAGTTTGGAATTTCATGGTTAATAAACACAGTATGAAAGAAGGAGGAATATTTGCCAAAATAGCTTTTTTCCTTAAAGCACGTTACCCAAAATATATTTTCCTCATAATTTTTTTTATCATTAAGACAAAGGAATGCATACATTGTGCAATATTGCTATTTGCTCAAATACCAAACAGCGTGTCTCAATTTTTATTTAAAAAATTTTTTTTTATCAACTGAGGTGAATATGGCAGAAAAACCATAAATATAAGGATTAAGGCTGCATGAAATTTGAGTTCATTCGAATGATAAACCCAAAGTAAAACCCAGATGAACTTACCAAATTTCATTTGCTATCCACCTGAAACTATAAATCCTCTTCTGGCATTTGAGAGTAGAAAGGAGGTTCACTGAAAATTCAAACCAGGTTTTCCTAAACCTGACCCAGACTCACTAACTTTAGGTAAACTACAGTTGTGTTGTGGCTTCATAGCGAAACTTTCATCCCACTTTAGCTAATGATGAATAGATGATGGGCAGGGGAAGAGAACCAGAAGATGTTTTTGCAATGGCTGTTTTGTCTTTTTCTTTTTTCCCCCACATTTCCTGTAAAGTTCAGAAGTAGGGAAGAACAGTATATGAAGCAAATTTTCAATGATGTATGTGGAAAGATGACCACTTAGGAGAGACAGAGGGGGAAATTGACCGTGAAATACACATAGGATTTTTTAAAAAGGAGAATCCTGGCAAAATACTGCTAACCAACATTTCTTGAGTGCTTACTGTAATCAGGCACTGTTTTAAGCACTTTACCTGTGCTGATTCAGCTTGGTTTACCATAATAGTACCAAACACTATTATCTCTATTTTGCTGATAAGAAAGAGTAGGCACAGGAAAGTTACATAACTTGCACTGCCCAAGGTTACATGGCCCCGAAGGGGATCTGAACCCCAGAATGTCTGGTTCTGGAATATCAGCACTCCAGCACCACGCCATGCTGACCCTGCAGAGGAAATGGAATTACCATGTTGTTGGGGAAAGAAACTGCTACAGACTATGGATGGGAGAGATATTTTCCTGTTTGTTAAACTACTAAGAACAGTAGTAAATCTAATGGGAAAAGCTCAAGTAGAGAAAGTTCAGTGTTGTCTAACCTCATCCCAGAAGTGGGAAGGGAATTGACATCGCAAATCTCCCATAGGTCTTTGCGGAGCTTCCACTTAGAATGTGACCTAAGTAGGATACCCTATGCTAAGGAGATAGAGATAAATGGAGTAGAATTTTTTTTTTTAAGATTTATTTATTTATTTTAGAGAGAGAGAGAGTGCGTGGAGGGGGGGCAGGTAGGCAGAGGGAGAGGGAGGGAGCGAATCTTAAGCAGACTCTGTGCTGAGTGCGGAGCCTGACCTGGGGCTCCATCCCATGACCCTGAGATCGTGACCTGAGCCAAAACTAAGAGTCTGACACTTAACCAGCCGAGCCACCCAGGTGCCTCTGGAATGGAATTTAAAGGAAAAAAGTACAAGAATGACCCAGTGAGAGACTGGGGAGGAAAGATTAAAAAATAATAATAATAAAAACTAAAGAAGTAAAACTTGGAGAAACATTAGTTAATGTAGAACTCAACAGGATTCCAGAAATATTTAGAGGAGAAATGAAGACTTAAAAATGCCATGAAGGATATTGTAAATAGGTAAAAAGGAAATTCTAAGAGAAAAGCAAATTAAGGGAACTCAGATTTTTGTCAGTGACTTGCCAGATCCATAATGAAAGCTATATTCTCTTGGAATCCTGAAGAGATTTCACAGGAAAGACAAATTTTGTTCCCTGCCTTGTGTAGGTTGACTTAAAGATAGGCTGAAAAAAATATGGTTTAAAAACTGCTTTACATAATATATAATGTGTATATATATATGTTTATAATCTATAATCATAATAATGTGGAATGCCCCATAATCTTTATATTCATATTCTAATTTAATCCTCACGGTGAGAGTTGCAAGGTATCTATTACTGTCTGCACTTTACAGATATGGAAACTGAGGCTCAGGGAGGTTATGTTGCCTGTCCGGGGTCACGCAGCCTGTAGTCCCCCCGACTGTTCCCAATCCTGGACTAAGACCTCCCAGAACACCACACTCACTGGCTTCTCTTGCATAGCATCCCTAGGACTTTACCCAGAAAATGATGCCATAAAACAACTGGTTTTCGGCCAAATTCATCACGGTGCATTACCCTCAAGGAACGTACCGATAAGAATACATTATGCCAAGATGAGACATAGCCCAGCTTCTGAAATCTGGCTGGCATCCTCTGAGCGGTGGCCCTGTCTGCTCCGCTCTTGGAGAAGCTGAGCCTGTTAGGTAAACACCCGGATGTCGGCTCGGGTGTGGGAGCAAATGATAGATGAATGAACATCCGAAAACAGAATGGATCTCCCCGAGCAGGCCCCAAGCCTCCTGTGTTTACCGGCCCCCAGATGAAATCACCTGGCTGTTTATAGGAGTCTTAGTGCTGATGAAAAGACAGTTACACTCCAAACTTTTCCCTGCCAAAGAAGAAAATTCCCAGGTCCTTTAAAAAGTATGTAAAGCGTCTGATCTGAAAAGTGGCAACAGCATTTGGGACCAATTACCCACATTAAGAGGCAACAATGCTCTGTTTACACTTTGTAGCCAAGAGCCCTTTGGCTCTGGCCCACAGGCAGGAGATTGTAAATTACGCAAATTTCAGCCTAACTTGACTTCTCTTTTGACCTAGGTGTCTGAGTGTAGAGAAAAGCGGATAGAGAAGCCTGGTTGCTGTTTGCCCTAAAGCTTCATCGGATGGGGAACTGAATGTTTTCTTCCAGGTAAGACATTTAGTCTTACATTCCTGCAATGAAAGCAGTGGATTCTTTTATCGCTCAGGGAGGGGTCTGACTGTGTATGATGGGTCAAGATAGGGTTTTTCAGTCTGCTACCCCTCCAAAATCATTTTTGCAAAAGAAGTTAAAAAATAAAGGCTCCTTGACATCTTTTGGTTAGTTAACCATAGCATTCCAATTTAGCTCCATTTTCCAAAATACCATAGATTAATCAGTAGCAAATGGGAGATCATGAAGTTACGTCGCGTGAGCGGCGCTGCTGAGCATGGTCAGAGGTAGATGGTGGCCAGGATAGCCGTTGTGGGCAAAAAAAAAGGAGGCGCCATCTGGTCCAAAACTCAGAGGCTGGTAGGGATTTGAATCATTTGGGCTTGAGATTTAGGTTCCTCCCTTTACAAAGGAGGACCAGTCCCCACTTGGAGTAACCCTGGTAATTCCAGAAGTTTCTTCGAAAATTTTCGTCTTTCTTTTAACATAATCCTGATGTTAAGGGCTTGACCTTGCGGGTGAAAGGAACCACAAAGGTCAAACAGCAAGGAGGAGAAATGGGAGGCACAGGCCTGCCAAACACAGCGGTGTGGAAAAGACAAGCCCTTATTTTACTGATAGGCGTGATGCATATGTGTTCAGAGATGTATAATCCAACCATTCTAATACCACATTTAGACCATCCCATTGGAAATATCCACAGGCATGGATATTTTTAGGTTCTTTTTCAAGTTCTCTAGATTGGATAGTCATTTAGGAGAAAACATGATGGAGGTGGTGACTGTGGAGTAGTATGGGAATTTTGATGTTCAAAGCAGTTTCCTAACTCAAGAATCCGGTGTCCCCTTAATGGAGGCTGTCTTCTGAGACAACTTCTGTTTGATGCAATTTCCAATCCCTCCCACGTCAACACATTTTTCTGATAAAAACTGATCAACAACCAACAGGGATTTTTCTGACCCTGGTTTATCTCAATAATTTATCATTTTCTGCAGTGTCAGAGCTTCCTGACATTTACAATTAACTCACAAATTAACTTAGAAATGATAGTAAGCTCTCAGCTAAATGACCTAGTGGCCACTGGGGACCAGACCAATTTTCTAGAATAAGGTTAGGACTAAGTTGCTCTGGAACAATGCTGAGGTTGGTTGTGTAGAAATAGTGATTTAAGTGTAAGCAGGAATCGAGGTATAAAAGGGGAGATTTTATCTGCCCCTGATTCCATTAGTTATTCAGTCCCTGTGAGATATTTCTTCATCTGTAAAACAGGGGTAACTGGTTTTAAAAATGTTTCGGAATTCAAGTCTCCATAATGGAATCAAGAAGTCTTGAGTCTTTTCCTTAGAAGGAAGCTTGGAGAACACGGTCCAGCTTCTCACTGAAGCCAGTGGTCTGGAGATAGGCAGATGGCCAGGCTGACATGGATTCAGCAATTTGTAAGAGTTGTACATTTAAGGCAGGTAGCATATATGTGTGAAGGTCTGGGTGAAGGCTTCCAGACAGGGCCAGCCCCCTAGAGAGATGGGAAGGGCAGGGCTCACTCTCCCCAAGGCTATCGCTGTTGGAGCTTTGTTTTTAGAAATTTTTGTTCCTTTCATGGGAGCAAAAATCTGTGTCTCTGGACCATCTTTCTATTGGGTTGGATTCTGTCCTCAGAAGCAGCACAACTCAACCTCATCCCTCTACCATATGACAGACTTTCAAACACTGGAAGATAACTTTTGCTCTCCTCACCCCCTCCAGGCCACCACTTTTGTTTTATTGGCAAAATTCTCCAGTTCCACATATGACTGGGACTCAGTGGTTTTGTTTTCTTTGGTTGGCCTTGGTGTGCCAGATTCTCTTAAGAAGTGTCCAGCAACAAATAAAATACTTAGAAGTCTCATGACCAGAGCTGTCCACCACGTCATGTGATAGGCTTTGAACAGAGTCCTGAGTCAGATCCATGGAGTCAGATCTCAGCCATGGAGTCAGATCTCAGCCGTGTAGGGCTGTTCAGGGGATTTATTGCATTTTAAGGTTGTCTTATGTTTATTCCCATTAAATTGCATTTTGATTTGGCTTTTTGGTAGCTTATAGAGTCTGTCTCTCTCATCTTTGGTTCCTTTACAAATTGACTAGCAGGTTTTTTACAAAGTTGTGTGTTGTTGTTTTGTTTTGTCTTTCTAAGTAAGCTTTACACCCAAGCCCAACGTGGGGCTTGAGCTCATGACCCCAAGATCAAGAGTCATGTGCTCTATCCACTGAGCCAGCCAGGTGCCCGTCTTTTACAAAGTTTTGCCCAATCATTGATCTGAATATTGCAGAAGCCAGGGTTTCTGGAGTTTCTAGGGTCTTTGATGTCACTAGTCATTATGTTGAGAATAGTTGCAGGTTTATTTCTTCAATTAGCTCATAAGCAGTGATTAATAGTAGGCTCTCTGGAAGTAGATTTGCCTGGGTTTAAATCCTGGGTCTCCTGATATACCAGTGTGTGACCGTGAGCATGCTGATTTATCTGCCTGTGCCTCAGTTTCCTCATCTGTAAATGGGGATAATAATGTAACTCTCATATATGGTTGTTTTGAAGATTAAGTGAGTTAATATATGTAAAGCACTTAGACTAGTGACAGGCACATAGCATGTACTATTTATTATATAAAGAAAATAAATCAAGACAAGCTCCCTAAGGATAGGAACCAGTATCTCATTTATAGCTGTATCTCTAGAGACTAATACTGTGCCTGGAATATATTTGGGGCCAATATATTGGATAAATGGACAAATGAGTTTCCATAGTGTTCTGGACATTGGTGCAAGCAGACAATATAATCAATGCTAGGGTTTCTAATGCTAACAGGTTTTCTTTTCTTTTCTTTTTTTTAAAGATTTTATTTATTTATTTGACAGAGAGAGACACAGCGAGAGAGGGAACACAAGCAGGGGGAGTGGGAGAGGGAGAAGCAGGCTTCCCGCTGAGCAGGGAGCCCGATGCGGGGCTCGATCCCAGGACCCTGGGATCATGACCTGAGCTGAAAGCAGACGCTTAACAACTGAGCCACCCAGGCACCCCCAGATTTTCAATATTATTATAAAAAAGATCCTGACTATGGAAAGAGGTCACGTCTATTCAACCTCAGACCATCATCATGGTGGTTATTTTGCTGCTAATTTTTCTGTGAATGATCACCAGTGTCATCTGTGTCTTTCGTGATGCTAATCTATCGTCTCTGTTTAGCACGGAAGGCCAGGATAGTCACACGCGTAAGTCCAGTCTCAACTGAGGGAAAAAAAAAAAACAGATTCTGCTTAGTTTGCTTGCACCAAGCTGAGAGGGGACACGAAAAGAAGCTTAACCAAAGAATGCTAGTGTTCCTGCGTCAGATCTCCACATTGTTTAAACTTTTGCAGATTCCCCAGCATTGGGCAGACTCATTCAAAAATCCATGCTCGAAAAATTAAATGTCCTAAACATCATCCATGGCATGGAAGTTCCTGCATTTCCCTACCTTCCCATTACCGCCCAAACTTTAAGTGCTAACATCAGGGTAGGTCTTGATTTAAGCACAGAACAACATAACGCTCCCCCGGGTTCAGCTTCAGTATATTAAATCCGGTTCTTGTTGGATTGAAAATTTAAATCTCTCCGAGATCTCTTTTCCATGTAATTCCCTTTGAACTTCCGTCCATGCTAATTTTAAACACGTTCGGTATTTTCCTCCTTCTATATGAATACAGTCGGGCTCAAAGAAGGAAATTCACCAGTGTTTTCTCCTTTGTATGTGTTCAATAGGTACCCTTGAAGCAATTACCTACTGGGAGACGTGGGAGGAGCCACTCTGTGGGAGCAGGGGCCACCGGTAATATGATACGTGGTTGTTGTGTGTGTAAAGTGCTAATACTTTTGACAGCAGCCATCCTAAAGGGGTGTAGCAAGTCATTTGAAATTTGTACACAGACTGCCCTATGCATTACGCATCGCCCGTATCATACCCATAATCTCCCAAGGCAGATAGGCTATTACACTCAGTGGGCCAAGGTCTGCCAGGGCTTATATACGCACAACTCCCACTGATTCCATGCTACTGAGCCATTCAATGGGACTCGTCAGCGGCGTGAATTTAGCCCAGGACCGTCACAACCACAGCGGGTGCTGCTAAACAGAGAGACCTGGCTATGTGTTAAAAAGGCTGAGGAAGAACAAAAAAGCTGCCAGTTTTCGTAAGAAATCTTATCCCTAGAGCATTAAGAACTGTAGCCTGACACTCGCCACACGATCCTCATCCCACAACCTGCCGATCCCAGGCTGGGACTTGGAAGAAGCTAAAACAGAGTGGGCATTAAAAAAAAAAAAAAAAAAAATGGCCTGCTACAGGGCATAAAACAATGCTTCGCAGCCAACCTTATTATGTGAGGGAAGAATTCCCCATGGGTGATCCTCAGAACATTTATTTATCAAACTGTAAAGGAACATCTTGGAACCAAGGGCCCTCTTTAAATATAGAATATTTAAAATATATAAGGCAAGAGTACAAAGATGCCCTGCTTTTGAAAGTTACTGGTCGGGTGCCTGGGTGGCTCAGTCGGTTAAGCGACTGCCTTCGGCTCAGGTCATGATCCTGGAGTCCCGGGATCGAGTCCCGCATCGGGCTCCCTGCTCGGCGGGGAGTCTGCTTCTCTCTCTGAACCTCCCTCTTCTCATGCTCTCTATCTCATTCTCTCTCTCAAATAAATAAAAAAAAAAAAATCTTAAAAAAAAGAAAGTTACTGGTCTATCCATTTGAGTCACACAGTGTCATGAGTGTTCTGATAAGTAGCATACATATCGTCATGCTAATGTGGGAATTGCCCCGTCAGTCACTTCATGGTGCCGTCCGCCATGTTATCTAACATGATTCTCTGGGAGCTCTTTCTTGGCCTTTCAGGCATCCCCAATCAGAACTTGTAAGTGATCGGGCATCACTGATCTCAAGCATGCAGGAGATATCAGGATTTTAATTTCGACTCCGAGTCCTTGCCATTGCCAACGATGAAGTCTACTACTCCTAATCATCGAAAATGCTGTTGTCTGGTGAGCAGAGCCTAGGTTCAAATCCTTGCTTTCTGGCACACTAATTGTGTGTCTTGGGTATGCTGCTTGACATCTCTAAACCCCAGTTTTCTCATCTGTGTCCTGAGGTGTCTAATATCTTCTTCGTTGTGATGTTGTGTGGACAACACCAAAAAAGATGTGTGAAGCACTCAGCACACCATAAGATCTGTTGAATGAACGGATGCAGGTATCACACTGTATGATACGTAGTAGTCACTCAATAAAATCTTCCGCTTCCTCCTTTTTCCTCTCTTCTTCCCCACCACAGTCTCATAAGTTAATGCTCATGCAAGCCTATGTTTATTAAGAAAAATACTACCTTTAAAGAAAATAACTTAATTAAATAGCATTCTATGAATGACAAATGACCACACATTTAACAGAACACATTTAAAGCTATGCTCATCCTTTGATTGTTGTTATAGAGAAGATAAGAATGATCTATTTAAAAGGAAAATGAAAAAATAAAAAAATAAGGAACCAAATTAGACATTCAGTCAAGTCTGATTAATGGCTACTTCCAATGGAGATTTTAGCTGAGTTTAGGATCCTTGCATCTCTGACTGTTAATGTACAGTGGTTAGAGGTGACCATTTTAAGAAGTCGAATGCATAATTCATTCAAAGTGCACAGAGATTTTCTTTCTCAGTTTGGAAAGACCAAAAGTTGGGTACAATTCTGTTAATGCTATAAAACTGGTATGTTTTGTGATAATGAATTTAGATATAGAAAACTATCTTTCTCTGAAATAAATGTAGCTTTCCTGTCATTTCTTCATTTTTTTTTTTCATTTCTTCAATATGAGGACCCTAGTAGGGAGTAGAATTAATCATGTGTTAAAAAAATTACATCACCCTAAAAGACTTCCACTCATTCTACAAAAGGTAGTCCAGGTCATTTTTAAAAACTAACGCGTTCTCGAACAGGAAAAAGTGCAATAGGTTAATTTGCAAAGTATGAATAATTCAACACAGGATCATGCATTTCTTTTTACATATTTTCCCATACAAAACTGTTGCTTTATCATTGTTAAGTAAACTCCCACTGGTGCATGTAACTCCTTGAAAGCTCTGATAGGAGATGCAATATTGTGTTTAGTAGAATAAAGTAACAACTGAAGTTTAATATGTTTGGAAAGAGCACGTGCAGACCCGTGTGAGTGTGTGTGTGTGTGTGTGTGTGTGTGTAGGAACTGACTTTTTCAGTTCACAAAGTAATCTTCTCTGATTTGAACTTGCAGTTAAAAAATGTTGACCATGGGGGTGCCTGGGTGGCTCTGTGGGTTAAGTGACTTGGTTTTGGCTCAGTTCTTGATCTCAAGCTTTGTGGGATCGAGTCCCGGGTAGGGTTCCTTTGTCGGTGGGGAGTCGGCTTGAAGATTCTCTCCCTCTGCCCATCCCCGCCCCCCGCTTGTTCTCTCTCTTTCTCTCAAAATAAATAAAGAAAACTTAAAAAATAAAGAAAATGTTGACAGTGAAAAACAATTGAACAGGATTTGTACAAAGTTCAGGGAATTTGCAGAGCTTGGGCCTACGAATTTGGTAGTGAGGTAATCAAGTCAGCAAAATACAGGTAATCAAGTCAGCAAAAATACAACAAGATTTACTCGAAGTTTGGGTAGTAAATTAAGCTCTTAACAGAAAAGAAAATTGATATGCACATACTTCAAATATACACGAGGAACTCCTTAGATGTTCTTTGTCTTATCCAAGATAATAAGAAAAATAATAGAATTTAGAGCTGCCTTGTGCCTTCCCACTTCACTTCTTTTGCGTGGGGCTGACCATAGGGCCTCTCAAGTCTGGCTCATTTTGTGTCGGTGAATCTTGTTTAATGGACATTCTTTTTACAAAACGAGGTAGTCCCCCGGCTGGACCACAGTTCGCCTCAGTTCTAGGGATCCCTCCACTCAGCCGGGTGTGGCCAGTCATGGTATCACATCAGCCTGCATGGAATCGATTTAGGACATGGCGTGTTTCCTCGAAAATGAAATTCCCCATGAAAACAGGACCAACAAGGACATCAGAAAAGCGTTTTGGGAAAAGTGCCAGAAGTTGAGCGAGAGGCAAGGCAGAATCCTCGGTATCAGGGAGAAGGGGAAGAGGGTCAGACGGAAAGAGAAGCGAAAGGAAAAGCAGGGCAGGAGGAGAGGCACGGAGGAGAGAAGGGGCCTAAATTAGAACAAGAGGCTATGTTTATTAATAACCTTGCTGACCCACAGGCCCCTGACACAAAATACAGTAAGTATTGTTGGAACACTCTGCTCTGTCACTCCTAGGAGGAGCAAATAAAATAGTGGGGGAAGCTGCAAACTTTCTGAGAACAGATTAAAAAAAAAAAAAAAAAAAAAGCCACCACAACAGAAAAAAGCCAGAATAGGGTGAAGGCACAGACTCACCAGCTGGAGCAGCCCTGCAGCCCGGGTTCCCCTTTATTTTCCTACAGCACCTTCTCTGGGCAATCTCCTGTAGGCTTCCACGCTTCCGGCAAACTAGAAGTGAAAACACACAAGGCAATTTTTTCTCGATTGCAAAAGTAATACATGTCCATTGTAGAGCGTTTAGAAATTGTGGAAACACGTGAAGAAATAAATGAAAATAGACTATAGTCCGGTCACCTGGGTGGCTCAGTCGGTTAAGCGTCTACTTTGGGTCATGATCCAGGGACCCTGGGATGGAGCCCCGCATCGGGCTCCCTGCTCAGTGGGGACCCTGCTTCTCCCCCTCCCTCTGCTTGTGCTCTCTTGCTCTCCTGCTCTCTCTGTGTCAAATAAATAAAATCTTAAAAAAAAAGAGACTATAGTCCCACTACTTCTTTCTTTACTTTTTTTTTTTTTTTTTTAGAGAGAGAGAGCATGCACCCACACACAAGAGTATGGGGAGGGGCAGAGGGAGAGGGAGAGAGACTCTCAAGCAGACTTCATGCTGAGCTCGGAGCTGGAGGTGGGGCTCGATCCCACAACCCTGACCTCACAACTGGAGCTGAAATCAAGAGTCCTCGGCTCCACCCACTGAGCCACACTGGTGCCCCTCCACGTTTTTACTGACATGTAAGCTTGAAAAGTAAGATTGAGGCCCTGCTATCATCCACTAGTTTGTGATTAATTTTTTTTAAGATTTTATCTATTTATTTGACAGAGAGAGATGCGGTGAGAGAGGGGAACACAAGCAGGGGGAGTGGGAGAGGGAGAAGCAGGCTTCCCGCCGAGCAGGGAGCCTGACGCGGGGCTGGATCCCAGGACCCTGGGATCATGACCTGAGCTGAAGGCAGATGCTTAACCAACTGAGCCACCCAGGCATCCCTGTGATTTGGTTTTCCCATCTGACAAGTCATAATAAGTTATTTGCTCCTGTGTCGAAACTATTGTAAAGCATGATTTTTATGTTGGCATCCTGTTACCTTATTTGTAGGTATCATAATTCAATTTACCTCTGGTTAGATATTCATGTGGTTTATTAACTTTTGGCCTTTATAAAATCTTTGTGTGTATCTCCATTTCTTCTTGAAATTACTATAAGCAAAATTCCTGGGTCAAAAAGGCTTTTTTTTTTTTCTTGTCTAAGATTTGCAGAGCTGCTCTCCAAAGTGTTTATGCCAATTTATATTCCCACCTGCCGTGAATGAGAATGCAGAATTCACAAAACCATCATTAAGTCTCCCCAAACTAAGAAACTTAGAATCCTATTTTGATTTGTATTTTTTTGATTATTTGTGATGCTAACTTTCTTCATGTTTCTTGGCTATTTGGCTTGTTTTGTGAGTATGTAATTTGCCTGTTATTTACACTTTTATTTATTTAAAAATTTACAAAATTGAGTTTCTGTTAAATTGTAAACCCTCATTACATCTTAAGTGTATTAACTCTTTCACTATCAAGCACTGCAAGCATTTTGTCCTTTTTATCATTTGATTTTTAATTGTTAATGGATTTGTTAAGAAGATTTTATTTATTTATTAGAGAGAGAGAGAGAATGCAAGTAGGGGGAGACACAGAGGGAGAGAGAGAATCCCAAGCAGACCCTAGGTTTGATCTCATGACCCTGAGATCAGGACCTGAGCTGAAGTCAGAAGTCAGATGCTTAACCAACTGAGCCACTCAGGTGCCCCAATAGTTAATGGATTTTTAATGTGTATGTTTATAAATCCAAGTACATAAATATTTTCCTTTATTCATTCTTCCTCTGCTTTTATGTTCAGAAAGGCTTTGTACATCCCAGGGTCAGATAAATATCAATCTACATTTTCTACTGCTTTTATGACTCTTTTTATTTTTTAAAAAAATGTTTAAATCTCTTACTTGTTTGGAATTTGTTTTGGTCTGTGTAGTAAGAATCTATATACCAAAGCCTCTTTTCCTTACTGATCTCAATCTTGTATGTTATTGGGCCTGTTTCTGTATTTTTCAATTTTATTTCATTATCTTCATATCTCCGCTGCTTCTTCAGCCAAAACCCTCCCTTTTTTTATTATTAGAATTTAAGACTATGCTTTCATATCCAGTAATTCAAGTTTGTCATCCTTACAATTAGTTTTCTGGGTTATACTCCCCTCTTTATTATTCTGTAAGAACTCATCCAGTTCAAAATGTAAGTGAATACAATTTATACATTAATGTGTGGGCACTTGAAGTCCTTAATACTGAGTTTTCTTGGCTACAAGTAAAACATGCCTCTCATTTATCTTTTCCTGCAAATTTCTGCCCAGTTGTGGTTTCTTCATGTCATATCTCAATATAGTCTCGAGTTTATTGATTGTTGTTGTGAATCCTGTTTCTCTATTAAATTTTATAACTGCTGAGGAAAGTTGCCTACATACATATTTTTATTTGGCATTTGCCACTTTCCTGCTTTTTATTCACAAAGTTTGCCAGTTGATTCTTTTGAACCATGTAGGTAAATATTATCATCTGCAAATAATGATAATTTTTTTCCTCTTCCTCAAAATGACGTAATTTCTTCATTTTTCCTCTTATTGCAAAAGATTAGAACTTTCAAATTATTTTAAAATATTCTTTATTGGACACGCCTCCAGTATTTCGCTACTAAGTTTGATGGCCTGAATACATTGTACTTTTGAAGAACTCTGGCTTCCGTAAAGTGTTTTTGGCTTCAAATGGCTATCTCCCTCCTGAACCTTTTGTTCACTGGTCCACTTGGATGTCTCCCAACCCTCTCTGCCCAGAGCTGAACAAGTCTTACCCTTTTCTTTTTTTTTCTCTTTTAAAGATTTTATTTATTTATTTATTTATTTATTTATTTATTTATTTATTTATTATTTTAGAGAGGGGAGAGCAAGAAAGAGCGTGAGCTGGGGGAGGGGCAGGGGGAGAGGGAGAGAATCTCAAGCAGACTCTGCACAGTGTGCAGAGCCCGGTGTGGGGCTTGACCTCAAGACCCTGAGATCACGACCTGAGCTAAAATCAAGAGTCGGATGCCGGGGTGCTTGGGTGGCTCAGTCGGTTAAGCATCTGCCTTCAGCTCGGTTCATGATCCTAGGGTCCTGGGATCGAGCCCCACACAGGACTCCCTGCTCAGCAGGGAGTCTACTTCTTCCTGTCCCTCTGGCCCTCCTCACTGCTCCTGTGCTCTGTCTCTCTCAAACGAATAAATAAAAAAATCTTTTAAAAAAAGAGTCGGGTGCTTAACCAACTGAGTCACCCAGGCACCCCAAGTTTTACCCTTTCATACATAAAAGTGTTCTATCTCTATACAGACAACCCCACCTCTTACCTACTGATGCTTTTTTTTCTTATCATCCACATTTCACTGTGGGAGATCAGTTCTCAGACCAACACATTCATTACAAATCCGAACCACTACTGTTTTAGTTAGTATGAAAATATGAAACGACCAGGCTATTTTCTGCCAACTTAAAAGTTAGCGTCTTGTGGAAGAATTTGTTTTTAATGTTTGCATTTTAAGAAAATGCTGAACTATTTTCTCACACAGGAATTATTTCATTTGAATTTGCTGACTTTTTGCCAGCAAAAAGCAAAAAGAACCTGGGATTTTGCCGATGCCATGCTAAGAGGGTTGGTTCCGTGGGTTAGATGGGTTAGAACAATATGTAAAAACAGACTGAGAAAGAGTGACAGTAACAGTTAGCAATGGCGGGGGTCACCTATGCGGAGGGAGAAGGGTGCATGCCTTTGGAGAGGGGTCAGGCCTAATAACCGTGGGAAGTTGAATGGTCTCTCTATCACTCTGAGACTCCATTTCTGCAACTCTAAGTTTGGGGTCATCACCTGTTTTGCAAGTATAATGTAAGAATGACAGATGATGAGTGTAAAGCATCTGGTAAGACACTTGGCCCCTATCAGGCACTTACTGAGAGAAACTGTAAGCTTCTGGCTAGGTTTGAAGGCAGGATGACGGACCATGTTATAGATAATAAAATGGAAAGAAAAGACCTTTCTCTGCTACACAGAGTTAACCCCAATCATGTTTAAGAATTTCAGGATTTAGGGGCGCCTGGGTGGCTCAGACGGGTAAGTGTCTGCCTTCAGCTTGGATCACGGTCCCAGGTTCCTGGGATCGAGTCCTGCATTGGGCTCCCCACTCAACGGGGAGTCTGCTTCTCTCTCTCTCCATGTACCCCTCTGTCGTGCTCTCTCCCTCTTAAATAAATGAATAAAAATCTTAAAAAAAAAAGAATTTCAGGATTTAGCCAACAGGCAGTGCTGTATGTTCATGGGTTCTAAAGGCCCCCAGTCTCCACCTTAAGGCAGTGGAAACCCTTAGTCCTCCTCTTCTCTATCTGGTTTGGCCATTTATGTGAATGCCAAACATCACTGGACCCCGCTTTCCATCCCACCCTGATAGAGTATGAGCTCTGAATGTTTAGATTTCAACGGCCTCTGAGCAGGACCAGAAGGGCTCCTCATTTTGATAATATAGTAAAATAGTCATTGTGACTATGTGCCAGGCATTTAAGAACTTCCTTGTCAACCCCCCTTAATTTTTCCAATTTGTTAGCCTGGAAAACGCCCTTATTAGTATCAAACTTAGGTCTTAACAAGGCAGGATAAAGTTTTTCTTCTATCTTTCCCAAAGTGAAGCTAGCTAGCGATCTGGATTTTTTTTTTTTTTACTTGATGGGAGGTTTCTGTATTATTATTGTTTAAAGTCAATTATCCTTTACTTTGTGTTCTTTTTCTGTTGTTTATTTTATCTGTCCTTCTCTCCCAGAGGGGCAGAATTAAGGCCCCCATTTGGTTTTTATTAGTGTAATCAGTTAATAGCTCTTCGATAATGCTTTACTTATTGTGTTAATTTTCTGCAGTTATGTCCAGAGGCAGCTTCCTGGAAGACCACATTTAAAAAAAGAAAAAGAAGATCTAACATTTCTTCTTTAATGGGTCCACTTAGCATTTATAGTTTCAGCTAAGATTATGGAACACTGTTGATTTATAAGATTATTGAAAATATATATAAACAGCAGCTACTATTTTAATTAGATCTGTGGTAACCCTAAAAATTCCATTAGTATGGTGAAGGTATGAACACTGCCCATGGTGTTTCTGTTGACATGGCTTATCACATCAGTTCTTTGGATTTATCTGGAACGCATTAAAGGTATGGGTGTACGCCTTTCCCACGCACATGGTGCCAGTCACTGTAGTTCTACTGTGTCAGCAGCTAAACTCTGCTTTCCAGGGACCACCGTCCAATTGCTAGTGACAATTTTTTTTTTTTTTTAATAGGCTCTACATCCAGCGCGGAGCCCAGTGCGGAGCTTGAACTCACAATCGTGAGATCAAGACCTGAGCTGAGATCGAGTCGGTTGCTAACCAACCGAGCCACCCAGGGCCCCGCTGGTGGGGATTTTAATGGGAACGTATCCTACATGGACCTTGGTACTCAGAGAGTAGTCCTCAAATTAAAGTGGAGCTTCGGGGCAGAGCATAGGGACAAACTAACTTACTTGAGGGGTCACAAAAAAGAGATTGATGATCAATGTGATAGATTGAGCCCCCATGGTAGGTTGTATTCTGAATTAAATGAATGTGCTGAAGCAAAGAGAACATGACTCAGTGATTGGCATCATGGGTTCTAGACCCACTTCGGACACGAATTAGCTCTAGAACTTCCTGGGACATGAACTGGCTCTAGACCCACCTCGGACACGAACTAGCTCTCAGGCCTTTCAGGGCCTCAGTTCCGTCCTCTGTAAAGCAAGAAGTTGGGATGAAGGTTCTAAAGTTCCTCCCAGCTTTCACCGTCTCTGCAATGTTCAGTCAGTGGTCGCTCTGTGCACGCACTTAGTGAGGAGGAATCATTAGCAGGTGACCGAATTAGGATTAGAATGCCTTTGGGTCATTGTCGAGTTTTGGGACATGAACTGGGCGCTTAGCACAAAATGAGGGCCCATCAGTGCTTTTATAATAAATCCGTTTTTATGGTGACGCCTAAGTGAAATTCTATTTTGGAGAACTGTTCTTGGTCCCGCCCAATGGCTGTGAGTGGATGTGGGAAGAGCACCAGAGGGTAAGTCACAGAGCCCCGCTGTGGGAGCCTGGGCAAGTCACTTTCTCTCCTTGGGTCTTTCCCCCTTCATTTGTCAAACAAAGGGGGTGGAGGAGAATCACCAAGGTAGCTTCTAACTAAGGGAGTCCGTAGCCTTGTAAGAATTGGCTGCCGCATAAAGCAAATAAGAAGGTTCTGATGTTCCCCCAACATCCAGTGCCCAGAGCAGTTGGAGCATGTTAGCTGCAATTTCGTGCTTGCTGGGAAACAGGACGTGGGCTTGCTACGGAGACGGGCTGGGAAGGAGAGGACAGAAAGGAGATCTGTGCGCTAAGGGTTGGCTGGGGAAATTTCATGCAAAGAAGGAAATGAGGTTTCCTGTAATTGCCTGTTTCTGAGCTACAGAATGTATCCAATCCTGTGTTTAAAATGATGCGATGCCTCGTTGTTAGCGCAGGACGCCACCTGTTTTGTCTGCCTCTATACCTGCCAGTGCTGATGATGTTTGAGAACTTTCCTTTCAGGCAGTGCCTCAAAGAGGGCAGTGGAAGGCCACAGGGCAAAGTCAAGACAGAGCATATTTGAAAGGAAGAGGGGAGAAGCCCATAGACATTTCAATGGAAGTATTTTAAAGGCATTTCAAGGAGGAGTCTGAGAAATAATTACAAAGTTTAAAAAGGAAGAATCTTGACTTTGATCTGATTTTCTTCTGTAAAGCAATTAGGTCCATCATTTTTTTAAAGGCTAAGCTGAAAATTCTAATGGCTGGACCCAAACACTTTCATTTGTGTCTCAGCACTTCTAAATTCCAAAAGAAAAAAAAAAAGTTTAACAATTTATTAAGGTGATTTTTGCAGAGGGATTAATGCATAAAGCATTTGCTGGTCAGCTCTCGTGAAGACTACAGCACCATAGTATAGCTGAGATTAAGAGCTAGATGTAAATCATGCAAGAGTCCAATTAATAGCACCGAACTAAGGAATCTATAAAGTTGATCTGATGAAAGGAGGAAAAACTGTCAAGGTATGATTGGAATTTTCCGTTCCAATTGCTGTTGGGGATTTTAATGGGAATGTATCCCACATGAATTTCTTCCTCACCAGCCTGGTCCACGGGATAGGCACTCAGGTAAGGAGAGGATATTTGATATGTGTTCTATTGATGTTAGATGTGAATGAGTGAAAGATCTAACACTGAGCTTAAGGGTTTTCTCCAGCTCGAGACTGTACTATGCTCGGAGGGAGTCTGTAGTGTGCACATTCCTACAACTTCCATATGCCCCAGAGGGAACAGAGCAGGACTGGAGCTCTAAATAACCCTAATGATATCGGGTAGGAGCCCATCAGGGAGTTGTTCGAGTTTGTCAGAGCATATTAAAATACAATGCATTCACATCATCAAAAAGCGTACATCAGTCTGTCTGTACGTTCCTTTCTGATATTAAATTTGTCCAGGGACTATTCAAAATTACACCCCACCTACCTGTACTCCCTCCCTTAGTGAATAAACATGCCGAAGAAGTGGAGAGTAAATCAGAATAATGCACGTTGGTGAAAGTCCTATAATTGAAATCATTATTGCTTAAGACACCATTGCTTAAATCAGCCCTATCATAAATCAGTGCTTTTCACAAGTGAAGGTTTAAAATAAAGTGCTGTTTAAACAGATTGGGTCTCTTAAAAGGCATGATGCAATTGGGAAGCTCTGGAAAATGGATAAAAAAGTGGTTTATGAAGAGATACACTGGTTCCAGCATTTTATCTTCCACTTAATTAAAAAAAAAAAATTACCTAGTCCTTTCTTAGAAATTACATATTGGAGGCCTGTAATGGCCAAGCCTTTAACCCATTAAAAAAATTTACTCCCAGGAACAGTTAATATTTGACGTTTAATTGCTTTTTCTTGTTGGAGAGGAAAATCTGTTTCTTTCCTTCCTTTCTTGATTGACTCTTCAAAAATCACCTTGTGAGCTATAAAGATGGAGAGGAGTAATTGATTTTCAAAAACTCAAGTGCATGCACATGTATTCACGTGTGTGTGTGTGTGTGTGTGTGTGCGTGTGTGTGTACATTACAACCTCTGAGTACCAGGCACGGGGGCTTCCCCTACAATCACTGTGCAAGGCAGGTGTTACTATTTCTAGTTAACAGAGACGCAGCCAAGGCCCAGAGTGGTTGATTTCTTGCATAGGGTCACACAGGTAGTAAGTGATGGGAGGCTGAGTCTTTATTCCTCCAACCCTGTTGCCTGCCTGTAGGGACGCTTCATGCCCAGGTGTGCAGATGTCCATGGAGCAAGGACCAAAGGCCATGCCAATGATCCCCATCACTGGAGTAACTAATCCTTTCAGCCTGTTTAACCAGCACCACGTTCTGGAATTTAGCAAATAATGCCACGCCATCCACAAATGTCGAAAGAGTCCAACTCTGATTTGTGCCTGTTATGTGAATACTGCATTGTAACTGAGCTAGGAGAAGCAGTTGAACCAGCCTTATCAGTGATACCAACTGGGGAGAGATTTTTCCTTGGAGAGTTTTATGTGGACGAGTTGGGGGTTGGATGATCTCTCATTAGAAAAATGCCCATACAGACTTCAGATGAACTTCCGGGGCTCCTCAGGACTTGTTTCAAGAGTCTTAAAGAGGGTGTCATCAGGACATTGGTGTAGAAGGGGCAAGGAAAAGCCACTTTTCGGTTGCCCTGAGTTAGAAAATTTCCATTTCAACATTGTCAATCCCTCACCTTTTATGTGAGGTAAATTCACTACCAAAGGCCAAAGTGTTCCCTTTCTTTTTCTTTCTGTTTTCTTTTTCTTTCTTTCTTTCTTTTTCTTTCTTTCTTTCTTTCTTTCTTTCTTTCTTTCTTTCTTTCTTTCTTTCTTTCTTTCTTCTTTCTTTCTTTCTTTCTTTTCTTTCTTTCTTTCTTTCTTTCTTTCTTTCTTTCTTCTTTCTTTCTTTCTTTCTTTCTTTCTTTCTTTCTTTCTTTCTTTCTCTTTCTTCCTTCCTTCCTTTCTCCCTCTCTCTCTCTATCTTTCTTTTCCTTCCTTCCTTCCTTTCTTTCTTCCCTCTCTTTTCTTTCCTTTTGCTCTTCCTTTCTTTCTTCCCACAAAACCAGGTATTATTTAGGTATCTGGCAAAGCCACACAAACCAACTGTTCCTCCTCAAAATATGCCTTTTAGAGCTCAGGTGATACACCTCATTGGGTTACACCTTCTATGTTTTGTGGTCAGATGTGGGCTGTGTCATTCTACATCACTCCACCTTGCGAGAAAATATTTATATATTAGCCTCACCAGGTTGCATGTCCTCTGGGATTGCTCCTGACTGCGCTGTCTTCATGCCAGTGGTGGGCAGTTGAATGGCCGACCTTCACAGGACCGCTGGGCATCTGCAGCGAAGAGGAACCGGCTCCTTCCCCCTCTGACTTCACTCAGCTGGAAAACTACGAGGTGTGTGGCTGGAGGACGAGACATTTCTGAGAGGTGGAGTACAATGCTTCGAGAAAGGGCTTGGAAGGAAACAGGCAGATGTGGAGGGCATGAAAATTTGCACCGCTCACAGTATTTTTTTTGGCTACATCTGGAAAGACAAAAGCTTATTGTACAAGGTCTTTCTGTGATTTTTAATGTTTTTCCTTTTTATTCCTGATACGTGGCAATTCCCATTGTTCACTAGGTAGTGGTAAAAGTGAGTCTTATATAGCTGTATGGTAGGGTAGGTGGTAGGGTATCAAAATCCTTCCTGGAAACTCATTTGGCAGTGTGTGTCAAGACCATACAAATTTTCGTAACCTTTGATCAAATATTTTTACTCCTTGGAATCCATTCTCAGTACCAAAAAGAGTGCTGAAAGATGTTCTTTGTTTTATTTATTTATTTATTTATTTATTTAATTTATAAGGTTTTATTTATTTATTTATTTATTATTATTATTATTTTTTTTAGTTTTATTTACCTGACAGAGAGAGACACAGCGAGAGAGGGAACACAAGCAGGGGGAGCGGGAGAGGGAGAAGCAGGCTTCCCGCTGAGGAGGGAGCCTGATGCGGGGCTCGATCCCAGGACCCTGGGATCATGACCTGAGCTGAAGACAGACACTTAATGACTGAGCCACCCAGGCGTCCCCAAGGTTTTATTTATTTAAGTAATCTCTACACCCAATGTGGGGCTCGAACTCATGACCCCGAGATCAAGAGTCACATGCTCCACCGACTGAGCCAGCCAGGTGCCCCTCAAAGATGTTATTTAAACTCTTGTTACAGTCAATAGCCAAACTGTGGAAAGAGCCAAGATGTCCATCGACAGATGACTGGATAAAGAAGATGTGGTATATATACACAATGGAATATTATGCAGCCATCAAAAGGAATGAGATCTTGCCATTTGCAACGACGTGGATGGAACTGGAGGGTATTATGTTGAGTGAAATAAGTCAAACAGAGAAAGACATGTATCATATGATCTCACTGATATGAGGAATTCTTAATCGCAGGAAACAAACTGAGTGTTGTTGGAGTGGGGGGTGGGGTGGGAGGGATGGGGTGACTGAGTGATAGACACTGGGGAGGGTATGTGCTCTGGTAAGCGCTGTGAATTGTGCAAGACTGTTGAATCTCAGATCTGTACCTCTGAAACAAATAATGCAATATATGTTAAGAAAAAAAGAAGAAGAAGAAGAAGAAGGTAGCGGGAGGGGAAGAATGAAGCGGGGGAAATCGGAGGAGTGGACAAACCATGAGAGACGATGGACTCTGAAAAACAGGCTGGGGGTTCTAGAGGGGAGGGGGGTGGGAGGATGGGTTGGCCTGGTGGTGGGTATTGAGGAGGGCACGTTCTGCATGGAGCACTGGGTGTTATGCACAAACAATGAATCATGGAACACTTCATCTAGAACTAATGATGTAATGTATGGGGATTAACATAAGAATAAAAAAAAAAAGAAATAAACTCTTGTTACAGTACTTAGAGCCTTACTATAAACCTAACAGTATGGGCAATGGAACTATAAAATATTTTCCTGATGTTGATATGCAAATTATGTCATAACATCGGAATAGGATATATACTCCTAATGATTACAGATACGTGGGCAAACTATGCTCAGTCATAATAATAGATAACATTTATTGTCTACTGAATATATGACAGGCAATGTGTCAGATCCTTTGTAGTCACTGCCTCCTTTGGTGTGCTTGCTAGATTAAGCTAGATTTTATTTTTTCTCCATTTTACAGATGAGGAGAGAGGAAGGTTAACTGGATTATATGAGGTCAAACTGCTAGTGTGAGATTTGAACCCCGTCCTGGTTGACTACAGAGCTCACACTCCTAACTTATCATTCCTCGTGATATGTGGATAATTTTAAGTAAAAAACAAATATTAGCCACCAAACCCCTGCCCCCCAGAAAGTAACCCCAAAACTCCAAACCAAAAACAACCCAGCACCAACAAACACAAATCTGACAAACTCTGCTCTTCTGGTAATCACATGGAAAAGTAAATAGCGAAGCTTAGACCAAGAGAAATAGCCCAAGTTGAAAAAGCTTATCTGCAACCGGCCAATAAAATGACAGGTATTTTATATGAAGCAGCAATTAAATGTTAAGGTCTTTTCTCTGGATGGGAATTAGATATTTTAAGTATGATCTTATACTAAGACAATCCAATTAATATTCTTCTGCCAACTTAAGGAAGTAAATCTTACAGTGAAGCAAATCTTGCATTTAGGTGGAAAGGACTTTGCCCAGAGTGACTTGAGAATTATCTTGAGGACTAGGGCCTAGACCAGTGGTTCTTACCTTATTCTGTGTGAGAACGTATTTGAAAATATTAATGGCATCGATGATGTCTGTCTCCAGTAAAAACACATTTATTTCTATGTATGCCACATTTTGTTCTATGTCTATTTACTTTTGATATCTTTTAGGCTTATTGCTGGTTTGAGGATTTAAATTAAAATTTCCCTCTGTGTTTTGGCTTGCAGAATGTTCTTTGTCTCACGACTTGGGGAATGTTCTTTCGTTAGCGGTTCGGACACTGATAGGGTTTCTTCAGAGCCTTGTCTACACCTGCATAAGGTCTGTAAAGTGAGTATAATGAATAACTTAGTTTCACTGTTTTCTTTAAAGTGACAGCATGTTATTGTGAACGCTTGCATTTGGACACATGGCTAAACAACCGCCTTTTGGATTTTCCATGTTAGGATGAAAAAAAAAAAATGCAAGCCACACATCACCAGGAATCCATGGCTGTGCCTGGCAGTGTAATTGGGAAAAGTTTGGAATGTTAGTGGACATTCCTAGGAGCAGCTTTATTTCCCGCACCTGCAGCAATGCGCTGACATTAAACACACAGGGACCAAGTGCATGTGTGTAAGGCGCAGTGGTTTACAGATGTGAAAAATGGATGGATGAGGACTTGGGATGAGATTCTCCCAGGACTCCAGTGTGCTGAGGTTGGGAAATGCTCAGGCGGGCACCTTCCAGGCACGGTTGGCTGTGCTACTAATAAGGTTACTGCTGGGGCCTGATTTCATTCCATGAAATCTTTTCACCATCAGGATGAAGAAAATTATTTTTCACCGTTCCCCAAATGGAAACATTTTCAGGTATGAGTCCCAAAAGATTTTATGTGTCCTCTGTACCTGTTGTTCGGGATTGTGCAAGAAAGGAGTCGGAGGGGCGCCTGGGTGGCTCAGATGGTTAAGCGTCTGCCTTAGGCTCAGGTCATGATCCTGGGGTCCTGGGATCAAGCCCCAAGTCTAGGTCCTGGCTCAGCGGAGAGCCTGCTTCTACCTCTCCCTTGGCCTCTCCCCCTGCTCTTGCTCTCTCTCTCTCTCTGTATCTCTGTGTCTCAAATGAATAAATAAAATCTTAAAAAAAAAAAAAAAAAAGAAGGGAGTCAAAAATACCAGGGTAAGAGGTCATTGGTTTGTCTTCTCAGGAACTTCCCCTGGGCAGTGGTCTCTGCCTCTGTTACACAAGATGGCAAAAATATGAGCCAATGTGCATCTGGCCAATTTTGCAATGCTCCATCACAAGGGGAAATTCCTTCCTCACCCCAGCTGGTGAACAGTTATGCCCTGGAGCCCAGGACGGACATGCCTTGTAACTTTTTAACCTAGTTAGTGTAACTGCCAATATTATTCCTATTCATATAAATGTCTAATCCTTTCTTGAATCTTGCGAGACTATTTGCCTCAATAATATCCTGCGGCAGTGAATTCCACAGGTAGATTATACGCTGTTTTAAAAAAAGTATTTCCTTTTATTCATTTTAAATTTGTTACCTTTTCACGTCACAACATGGCCCTTGTTCTTGCATTAAGGGGCCCAAGGTCCAGGCATTACAAGTTCAGCTTTAATTTTTCCAAGCACTCCGCCATTATTAAAACTCCGCCTTCTTCATATTGTTTCCTTTTTTGGCATATATCATCTTTTTTTTTTTTTTAAGATTTTATTTATTTATTTGACAGAGAGACACAGCGAGAGAGGGAACACAAGCAGGGGGAGTGGGAGAGGGAGAAGCAGGCTTCCCGCCGAGCAGGGAGCCCGATTTGGGGCTCGATCCCAGGACCCTGGGATCATGACCTGAGCCGAAGGCAGACGCTTAACGACTGAGCCACCCAGGCGCCCCGGCATATATCATCTTGATTCAATGAGATGATTGATCTAAACGGTCTCATACTACTTCGGACACACAGTAGGCCCCGGACGAAAGGTTTCTTTGACATTCAGTGTCACTTGATGGACAAATGTTTATTAAGCACGTATTGTGTGTCGGAATTGTTCTAAGTATTGGAGAGACAGCTTTGAGTGAGGCAGGGTCCTTGTTCTGAAGGACCTAATTTTCTAGAGAAGACCAGCAGAAATAATGTGAATAAAGATGAACTACATGGTTTTGGGTGGTCTTAAGTACTACGGGAAAATTGGGCAAGAGTGATTGGCAGAGGATGGCAGGGGCCATTCCAGATTGTATGGTCAGAGAGCAGCTCTCTGAAATGGGGCCAGTTGAGCTGGCCATCAGGGAATCATCTATGTGCTGTCTCCATGAAGGTGAACTTATGCTCCTAGACAATGCCAGGCATGAGGCGAGACTCCATCCTTACTCACTGAGTGAATGAAAGGATCAAGGTTGAGGAGGGAAATTGTAGTTTCAGAAATCATTCAGTAAGTTCCTCACAGACCCAGGAGTAACATATCTTGAATCCCTACGCCCTGTAACTCCAAAGACTGTTGGAGTAGAAAAAATAGAGTGAGTTAGGCTCAGCGTCAAACCCCTCCCACGTCCCCACGTCCCCAGCTACTTTCCTTGTGTGACCTCGGGGAAGTCACCTGGTCTCTCCTCCAAAGTGCTCTCATTCATAAAAATGGGAGTAAAATTTCCTTGGGGTGCCTGGGTGGCTCAGTCGGTTAAGCGTCTGCCTTCGGCTCCGGTCATTATCTCAGGGTCCTGGGATCGAGCCCCGTGTCGGGCTCTCTGCTCAGTGGGGAGCCTGCTTCTCCCTCTCCCCCTGCTCCTGCTTGTGCTCTCTCTCTCTTTCTCTGTCAAAAAAATAAATAAAATCTTTAAAAAAAAAATGTTCCTTGCTTCATGGGGTTTGGAGCATTGGAGATAAAATTATGTAGCATCTAGTTCTTTATAAACTACCAAATGGTGTAGAAATGTTGGTCATTCTGGAGGGAACGGGTTGTTCTCAGCCCTGAACACCCTTTCATTTTTCTCCTTCCTGGTTTTCTTTGTTCCCTATTTTTATCCCTGCCTCTGCCTAAAGCTCATTAGTGGCATCTGTGGTACTTAGCTTTCTGCCCCAGAAGTGGCTTAGGTGAGGAGGGTGGGAGAAGGGGGAGCGATAGGAGGGTGGTAGAAGGGGGGGGGCGATAATACCTATTTCTTAAGGGCTTTAAAAATGAATTCAGGTGGGGGCGCCTGGGTAGCTCAGTCAGTTAAGCATCCACTCTTGATCTCAGCTCCGGTCTTGATCTCAGGGTCGTGAGTTCAAGCCTCGCATTGGGCTCCATGCTGGGCATGGCACCTACTTTAAAACAATTTTTTTAAAAAAAATAAGAATAAAAAAATAAAAATGGAATCAGGTGGGGGCTGTTGCTAGGTGAAACAGGGGACCGGAGGTGTATTTCCAATAGTGACTGCTTGCTTTTATTTTGTTTACTGCTTGGTCCTTTGGGGTCAGGTTAACCAAACTTCTATACAAAAAGACAGAGGCTTTGCCTGAATTTCCGAGGGGATCCTTCCCCCCCAGAAAATGGAGGCTTTGGCTGAAATGATCTGATTACCTGCTTGGAGCTTCCCTCTGCGTTCCAGCATGATAGGCATATGGCATTTCCTCATGCTTCCTCCTGTTATTCTTTCTAATTGCCCCTTAATTTACTTTTTTTGTTTTTTTCCATTTAGGCAGTTTGAAGTAGATTATGCAGCTCTGCATAATCATGTATTAGAAAGGCATTTCAAGGAGTAAATTATTAGCGTTGTTTACATGCATGGTTCAAATTTACTGGCAAATTGTTCAGGCCTCGGTTTTATGAGGTAGCTGCCAGCCAGGCTCCTTCTGGGTAAAACGCTGAAATAGGAGAAGTTTCCTTTTGGTTTCCCTCACCCACACGTCCTCTGCCTTCTTCCTCCCCTTTCAACACCTCCCTCCATTCCTGCCCCCACAGAACTCTGTGGACCTGGCAGGCCTTTTACACCTTCATGTGAAGACATTTGTGGGTTCTCCCCTCTGCTGCCCGGCACCCTGCCCCCCCATGCAGGACCGACCCCCAATGAAAATGAGGTGTGCAAAGGAATAAATCTTCAATGGTATAATTTTAGAGCCTGTGGCAACTGGGAAGGGCGGCTATTTTGGGCTGTGGGGCTTTCTCCTTGACCTGAGATGATGTTACTTTGCCAGCCGTTGGTGCAGTCAGCCAACCCTGCACGCGGTCTTTGTAGCAACATGCCTGCCATTCCTGGTGGACGCTTCTTGGTTTCTCCATGGAGCTGCTCTGTGCTCCCCCTGAGTTCTGTGCATGTGTGCAAGGGCACGAATCTGGCCACATGCACCCACCGGGGCTTGTCCCAGGTGACATTTTGAAGGGGTGACGCAGGCTACCCCCAAGGGCCAGCACAGATGGAAGGCACTTCCTTCCACGGAGGGAGGAGAACCTTCCTGGTTGGGTTCTTGCCTGTCCTCCACCCTCCATGCTTTATCAGTTGCTCAGTGACCGTTGTGCGGGTCACCCCCTCTCTGAGCAAGGTGACCAGGCGGTCTCCAGGCCACAGCGTCTGGGCACCCCTCCTGGGAGGCCTCATTTGAAGCTGTCCTCGGGGGGCATCCTCACAGCGATCCTGACCACCCGGCTTGCTATCTTCCCATTCAAGCCCCTGATGCAGCTGTAGCCCGCAGATCCTTGTCCTGGCTGGGGAAGCGAGTCAGGACTCCTGCAGCTGATGGGCAGGACAGCTACAAGAAATCCGAGGGTGGCCAAAACAATAATGCTTTCCAGAGGGGGCCGAGAGTCTAGCCAAGGTCATCACTGGGGAGAATATCTTATTCGTAGTTCTTACAACCTAAAAAGTGCACACAAGACCCAGAGATCATTCAGGAAGGAGGAGTAAAGTCAGTAAAGAATGAAAAAATGGGAACAGTTTTTTTTTTAAAGGATTTAAGCTTATTTGTGCCAAAAAGAGAAAACAGAAGCCTTTTATAGGTGTGGAGAGAATGTGGCTCTCTCTTCTACAGGTCCCCTGGCCATTAAGAAAAGGGGAGAGTTCCAAAGTTGGAGAGAGAGAGAGAGAGAGAAGGAAAATGGGATGGGGAAAGGACCAGGGTACAAGAAGAACCTGATTAAGGAACAGAAAAGATAGTGGCTGGAGGGTTAGACAAAGAGAGAGAAAAAGATCAAGAGATAATGCTGCCTTCCCTTATCTGCTGTTGAATTCCATTTTTTTTTTTTTTGAGAGGGAGAGAGAGAAGTGGGGAGGGGGGGGGGGCACACAGAGAGGGAGAGAAAATATATTAAGCAGGCTCCATGCCCAGGGCAGAGCCCAACGTGGGGCTCCATCCCATGACCCTGAGATCATGACCTGAGCCAAAACCAAGAGTCAGACTGAGCCACCCAGGCGCCCTTGCTGTTAAATTAAATTTAACAGATATTTTGAGAACCAACTATGTCTGTTCCAGTTCTCGATTTTTGTATGACAGATCACCCTAAAATTTATTTACTTAAAACCGCAACAATCATTTTATTATTATCTGTCGTGGTGCTGAGTGTTGACTGGGCTCAGCAGTGTGGGTCTCATGCAGCCTTTCATGAGGATAAGGTCTGCGGGTGGCCCAGGCTGGGGTCACCTCTAAGGCTTCCCCACTGACACGTGGGGACTGATGCTGGCCCTTGCAGGAACCTCAGCTAGGGCCATTGGCCGGAATGTCCGGTCACTTTTCACTGCAGTTCGTCCTTGTGCTCCTTTCCTGGCTTCTCAGGGCTCCAGAGATGAGTATCTGAAGAGAACGAGGTAGAAGCTGAACGCTCCTTTCTGGGCTTGCTCACGCACATACTCTATGGGTCCACCAGTCAGTAAGGTCAGCTCAGATTCAAGGAGAAGGCATATAGACCCTTCCTATGGATTTGAGGAGTGTTTGAGAACTTGTGTCTGTCTTAAAACTGCTAAAATGTCCAATCACGATGTCACGTGTTCTCAACCTTCAAACCAGAAGAGCTTCTTGTCTACTTGGAGCTATGCAAGTCAATGAAGTAATCAGCACAAAGGAATGAAATTTCCATTCTCCAGAACGCTGAGGTGATAGCAGAATATGTACCAAATGGGGTACAAGATGAACTCTTGTATGTGGAGAGGCCAGGGGCAGAGGGTAGGTAGGAAGGCCTCTGGTCTCTTCTCTTTTTGGAGCACGTTAGAGGCGAACCAGATGGCAGGGGCTAACAGTCCCTAACTCTGGAGTGGGTGTTCAGGCCAGCTTTATTCAAGCCCTAACGTTTGTTCTTAATAACGTCTTTTTTTTTTAAATTTTTTGAAGATTTTATTTATTTATTTGAGAGAGAGAGAGCGCACAAGTAGGCAAAGCGGCATGCAGAGGGAGAAGGAGAAGCAGACTCCCCACTGAGCGGGGAGCCCGATGTGGGACTCGATCCCAGGACCCTGGGATCATGACCTGAGCTGAAGGCTCAACCAACTGAGCCACCCAGGTGCCCTGTTCTTAATAACTTCTTATCTTGTTACCTGTTTTCTCTTCCCTGGCCTCACATTTATTCCACCAACGGTCCTCCCTTTCAACAACTTTATTCTTCTGTGGTCCTAAAACTCTCTCCATCCATCTTCCTTGGTCATCACTGTATGCTTTCCGTGCATGAAAAAGATTTACCTCCCATTCCCCTTCTTACTTTTTGCTTCTCTATGGCCATTTCTCAGACCAGTGACCTCTCCCTGCCCTTCCTTGTCCCCCTCCTCACTGGACTGCTTGACATATGTATCTTCGTGTTGGGTTCCCTCTTTGTGGCCATTGTCTCTTGCCTTCTAAAACCATGTCTTATATTCTGGTAGCTCATGCCTTTCTTCTCTGCTCTGACTTGTCTTATCCTAAGTGCCATTTGTCCTGCACGGTGTCCCAGGTCAGTGGGCCCTGGTGTGCCCGACGCCCAGCATCTCCATCAGATACAGCTTTGATGGTGTACCATCTTCATGGTGAGGCCTCGTCCACAGCCATGGACTTTCAGGCGGGTTTGCTGCTCGGCTGCTGACCTTTCTCTGGTAAGAGTATCCTATATCCCATCATCACTAGAGCCTTTTTCTCTGCATCTCAGTCTCTGGTCTAAAAATATTACTAACTGTAGACATTCACTTTTTTTTTTTAAAGATTTATTTATTTATCTTAGAGAGAGAGAGAGAGAGAGAGCATGAGCAAGGAGGGGTGGAGGGAGAGAGAAAGAGAATCTGAGTGAATGGAGCCCGACTCGGGATTCGATCCCAGGGCCCTGTGATCATAACCTGAACCGAAACCGAGAGTCGGACAGTCAACTGACTATGCCACCCTGGTGCCCCTAGACATTCACTTTTTAATCCCCATGTAGGTTGGGGTCCTTTTCTCTTCTTAGTATAAAAGTGATATATATCCACTGTAGAGAATTTAGAAGACACAAAAGAAGCAAAAACAAGAAAACAACTGTTGTGGGTATAAACATTGTTAAGACCTTGGTGTGGGTTACTTTTTTCCCTCCATATTTACAACTTTTATTTAGAAAAAAACAGAATTACTACTCAGATGGGCAATGCTTTCTTCCAAGTTATTTGCTATTTTATAGAATCAATTGTTACAAAACTAGAGCCTCTGGCCCCAGCTAATTGGACCAGTCTGGGCCATCAGGCCCTAGCTGGGGCAGTACCTGCTCTTTCCTTAGTGTTAAATCAGATGATATTGGGATCTGGGGCCATAATATCACATCAAAGTGGGATTAGAATTTTCACTTTGAAGGCTAAAACTTTATTGGAGATGGTGGTTTGTGAGAGACAAGTAGAGAAGACACAGGAGTCTAGAGGCTTCCTTGGATCCTGGCTCTAATTTCTGTGGTGAATTTTGTGTTCTAACCTTTTATTCATATCTCAAATCCTCCCTTAGTGGTAGAGCTGTGTCTGTGGGGTTCTGACATCTCCCCCTAACAGTATCTGAGAAGGTAGGCTTGAATATTTATGGGGAAAGAGGAACATCCTGCTTAAACTCTGGCATTAACACTGAGTCCAAATACGTGCCTTGACACGTAGTTTGCTATGTGACTTGGGCGAATTATTTAAACAATCTGTCTCACAGTCCCCATCTGTAAAATGGATATAACAATGCGGTCCAGTGATGTAAGGAATCGAAAGTTCCTGGGACACAGTCTGCCACAAAAGTCAGGGTTCGATAAATTTTGCCTATGATTATTAATTATCACAATCCTAAATCCTCTGTAATTGCTCATGAAACAGCCCCATACTTTTTCAGCATTAGAACCAAAGCTGTGACAAACATCCCCAAATATTTACATGTGATTGTCTTGAGTTAAATGCCTAGGAGTTGCATCATCGGGTCACAGATTATGGACATTTGAAGAGTTCAAAGCTGTCACTGTTTTCATTGAATCTTGTAAGATGTCCACAACCCAGCCTTTCCCAATTTTTTATTCAGCTTGGGAAAGACGAAGAAAACCCACACCCAACATGCTCCTTGCCTCAAGGAACATTGTCTGTTGGACAAGCAGATGTACAAGCAATTATAGGTCATAGTTACATTTGCCAGAATGGAAGAGTGTATCTGTAAGGAAATCCCTGAGCCACGGTCTACGCAGTTAGCCTGATGGTCTCCAGAGGGTTTTGATGGGTCCCAGGTTACAGCATTTCAAAACATTTTTAGTTGCCAACAATGAACGACTGGAGATTTCAGGTAAAAATGTAGATTTCTGTCTCACCTTGAAAAAAAAAAACGGAAGTATTGGCAATACTGAGGCCTCATGTTACCATGGCAACAGTGAGGTGTGGCTGACCCTTTAGCTAGGGCACCAGTTCTCTTTTTTTGGCACAGTCCCTACCACTCCCTAGTGTACTACCTTTTGCTGCTATCTGTATGAGCCATGAGCTTCTGACCATAGGCCTAGTTAAGGGGGTATTTATTTTTTCACGGGCTCTCAGAGAAGACACAGAGAGGTCTGCTAGAGCAGAGGACTACAGGGTAAGCAAAAATATGCTTAAATATGCTTAAAATATGGAGGGAGGACCATCCATGGTGGGCAGAATTGCATGTGCAAAGGTCCGGGGGCTGGAACACAGAGGCCTGCTTGGGTGATGACAAGCAGACAGGACGGGAGAAGAGTTGGGCATTTGAAGGAGGGGACTGAGAGAAAGAGTTGGAGAGGCATGTAAGCATCAGCTTTTGTGCAGCCTGGCATGCCAAAATAAGGAATTTAGATTTTTTTTTTTTTTTTTTTTGCTTGCTGTGAAAACTGGATCTGATACTTGAGAAAAGAAGAGCTAAAAGAGTTTCTATTATCTGTGCTCTGACATCACGGTGGTGCCTTGCAGAGTATGTTGTGCGCAGAACCTCATTCAATCCTGACGCCAACCCCAGAAGACGTGTGCTTTCGTTACCCTCACCTTACAGATGAGAAAATGCAGATAGAAGGAGGTTGGTTAAGTGACTTCCCCGAGGTCACAACCAGTAAGTGGCAAAGCGGGAAGTAGACCCCGGGCTCAACTACAGAGCTCGCAACTTGATTGCCAGGCTTTAGAACTGCTACCCTAGCAGTGAAGGCAGGATTGCTCCGGGAGGAGGTCAGGAGAGGCCGGCAGACAGAGCGAGGCGGCTGGGTGTCCACTGCAGTGGCCAGTGGGAGAACAGGAGGGCCACACCGGGCTGCGTCCGTGCAGTGCAGAGGGGGTGTGTGTGGGTTACACGGAGGACGACCCTTCTTCGTGGAATGTGCCTGCCACCGGAGTTTCCTCTTGCTCGTTTGAATTCTCAGGGCACATCATGTCTCTTGCCCAGGGCTTGCTTTTGCCATGCCCCATAACAGCTGTGCACATCTTACGGCCTCTTGTCTAGTTCAAGTTTGTAAGGGGCAGGAGGAATCATGCTTTATTTGCCTTAATTTTATCTTTGCATTGCTGAGCACCGTGCTTTGGTAAACGAATGAATTCCCCAAATTATCTTTTGCAGATCATTTCTCCTTCTGTATGCATTTGCGAAGTCCGTGGCAGGTTAAACAGTTTTTCTTTTCAAATATGAAAATAATTTCTTTACACGATCTACTTTAAACTATTTGAAAATATGAGGGAGAGGAAGACAGGGAAGCTGTTTAAAAGCAGCAAAACCCTTTAAGAGTCAATGTCACATTTATTGTTATAAAATATTTTTCTCTCTCTGTTAGACATCTGGTTCCCATTACGTACAGTATTGGGTACTTGAGTTCACCAGGCATTTTGCATACCAAGCAGTGTGCATGTGAAATCCCCCTGACATCCGCCAGTTCATATTTGCACCATGCAAGTCCTACTTTACATTTGCAGACAACCCTTCCATCACCAACTTAATTCTTCCCAATATGCTTTCGAGGTTATTTTGTTCATCCTTAGCTTGAGGACCAAATTGCCTACATCTGAGAAATGAAGGACTTAATCATGGAGTCTTTGCTTTATGTCCCTATATGGTCCAACTATCTATAAGCTCACACCGAAGTCAATGAAACATCTAAATCTTAAATCTATATTTCCCAGTAACATTGACCCAGAAATGAGAAACACAATATGGAATGTTTGCTAATGAGTCATGAATTTCATTATAATTGCTTCCACATTCAGGATAGCGCCCTTAAACCATCTAATCTTGACATATCCTGCAACAATCCCATGTGTTGTAAATGGTTTTGTTTTATTCCTTAGGTTACTGTTAAGGGCTTATTTTATGCTTCATTTCATTTTCTTAAAGAAAGCCACACACATGTGTGTGCACACTCACTCTCTTGGATGTGCACGCATGCCCGTGTGCGCACCCACACGACTCGGAGGCTTATTGCCTCGATCTGTTTTTTTTTTTTTTTTTTGAAATAAGATAATTATGAAAGCAAAAGGAGCCCTCATCCACATTTGGGAAGAGAGCTGCAATATGGTCTATCATGGAGTTCCAAGTTAGGTCTCTGAGAATTAAGGCCAGAATCGAGCAGGGCCTCGGCCGGCAGCCGGCTGTCCCCTCGCTCTCTGCACAGAAGAGTCTATGAACGGACGGACCCGGCTAGCATTCAGTACAGTAATAATGGAAAATTAAATATGACTTTTAAAAACTGCTCACATTATAAAGTGATCTATTAGCATTATATGACTTTGGCACTTAAAGTGACTGATTCTAATTGTACGATTTGGCCCATGGCAAGCATTAAAGAGCTACAGAATCTTGTAGGTTTTTTTTTTTTTTTTTTTAATCTCTTTTGGGATATTTTTAAGTGGATTTTTTTTTTCCTTTGGAATAAAGCTTTGTTCCTGCCACAGAAAAGGTTATGTGGAAGAAATCTCTCAGTCCTGATAGAGCCAGAGGTAATTATAGTTCCTTTTTCTTTGATTCATGAATTGATAAGGCAAATATTAAGAACATTTTTTGCATTTTTTTTTTCTCCTCCTTTTTTATTAAGTGAAACTCTGTCTTTACAGCTTGGGGATGTTATCCTGAAAAAGTAAAGATGGATGGCCTTCCCTGATGAGCTTTTCTAGCAATCAGACAGGCATTCTTTCCCTGCACCTGGTGATCATAGTGTATCCTGCCGAATCTTTTCTGCACGAGCCCGTGGGTTGCTAAGATGACGTTGCATGCCATACCTTGAGCTGAACTTAATTTAAGCAAGTTAGCACAAAACGAGGACAACTTCTGTGCAGGTCTGCTTCTTAGAGATACTTACCAAAGTGTTTGCAATTTTCAGAAAAAGAGGGATGAATATGGGGGAATGTCATTCATCTTTGAATGAGACTTTATGTTTATGATATGTACAGGCTTTTTCTTAATTCTCATGGTATGGACTGCAGGAAGCTTACTAACTGAATAGTATTGGAAACGGCAGCTTTTTATGCTGACAGGGTCCTTTTTGAACTTACATGTTTAAGCCAAACTGAAGTTTTACCTTAATCTACGTGCCTATGAATTTCTTGTTGGCGGTTTTTGGATTTCTCAATTGCCGAAAAATTGCCTACTGTGCTTCAGAGAGTTTTGATATAATGACCCACATTATTATCCATATAACCAACAGTGGGCTCTTGAACACATAATTTAAAAACTCCAGCAACACTGTTAAAGTGTAAACACCAGCCTTATTTATTTGAAACATCTCTTTCTGAAATTGGACCTTCTTTTTTTTTTTTTTAAGATAATGCTAAAGTAGAAAGAAGTTTAAAGACACTCTGGCTTCTTGTGAGTTTTCCACTAACAATTCCCTATAGCTTGCAATAGCTCTCTTTCTTCCACAACCTGGAATCTGCAGAAGAGAGCAGAAATACTTGTTATTGACCTGAATTAGGATAAAAGGAAAAGAGAAGATAAGATCATAGCCGTCGGCATTTTGTTTATGAAAACATCATTTTGAGGATGTGCTTGAATCAGGCAAAAGTAATGCACCTCCCTCCTCTTCCAGCATTTTTGAAATGCCAGCCTGATAAGACTTAGAGAACAATGCCCAGAATTAGGGCATTACCTTTCCTGTATGCTAGTGTTGTGCACGAGAGTGTCATTTAATCATGATGGTTTTTCTTTGTTATTTTAGAAATACATACGAAAATAAAAAAAATTAGAAAATAAAAATATAAAGATGTATAAATATAAGAACAAAAAATAAAAATTTGTTTTTAAAAAAGTTATCATATTTTATTTGAAAAGTTTTAGGACTCAAAAGAAGTTGTAAAAATAAATCAGAGAGATCGCCTGTTCCCTTTTCCCAGTTCCCCCAAAGATAACATCTCATATAAACATAGTACCTTGTCAACATTAGGAAATTGATTCAATAGTGTTATCCTAGTTATAGATCTTATTTGGACTTCAGCAGTTTTTTTTTTTAAAAGATTTTATTTATTTATTTAAGACATACAGAGAGAGAAGACTGAGCGCAACCATGAGCAGAGGAGAGGGGCAGAAGCAAACTCCCCTCTGAGCAGGGAGCCCAATGCGGGGCTCGATCATGACCTGAGCCAAAAGCAGCAGCTTAACCGACTGAGCCACCCAGGTGCCTCCAGGGAGAGAGAATCTTAAGCAGATCTCACACTGAGCTTGGAGCTGGACACAGGACTCGATCTCACAACCCTGAGATCATGACCTGAGCTGAAACCAAGAGTAGGACGCTTAACTGATTGAGCCACCCAGGCGCCCCTGGAATGCATAAAAAAACTGGATGCAGTTTTTAATATGCATTCACTTTTACGATATATATATATATATACATATATACGTATTTATTTTAAAGATTTTATTCATTTATTTGAGAGAGAGAGAGAGCACACAAGCTGTGTGTTGGGGGGAAGGCAGAGGGAGAGGGAGAAGCAGACTCCTGGCTGAGGAGGGAGCCTGATGTGGGGCTCGATCCCAGGACTCCAGGATCATGACCTGAGCTGAAGGCAGACGCTTAACCGACTGAGCCACCCCGGCGCCCCAGGGGTGTATATTAATATGTGGAAATGCATTAACAACCGATGTTAAGGGAGCACCTCTCACCGACGAGTATTGACGGTATACAAGATTCTCAGATGATGTGGTTTTGTATATCCTGTGTCTGACTAGAGAAGAGGTAGATTTGATTGTATTAATGAAGACCCTTTATATTATTAGCTTTATCCACATATTAATTGACTAACAAAAATAATCCATCCTATATCAAGTGCCAACTGGAGACACAAAGATGGTGGCATTGACTATGCTCTCAGAGAACCCACAGAAGGAGGTAGAAAAAGAGTCAACAATTACACCACAGAGGGTTGTATACCAGAGGACAAATGAAACAACCCCCCATTACTAAGCATCTACACGAGCACTAGTGAAAAAGCGAATAAGATGCATGCCTCTCTTGTTCTGTGGATCTTACTGCTGAGTGGAGAAGACAAGACCATCAGCAAGTAGTGACAACAGAAAGCCTACCACAGGGCAGGGGCTCAAAGGGGTAGGTCCTGACCCGGTCAAAGGGTGCAGGAAACGGACCCAGGGGCATGTCCTGTAGCCACAGTAGGCATTTCAAGATGTTGAGAATGACAACTTACAGGATCTTTGGACCAGCTTGTTTCATTCAGAGCCTAGATTAACATCTTCTTGCTCTGGTGTTTCATTTGAGCAGATGGCTTGCTATGCAGTCATTGTTTCTTAGAACTGACTCAAAAGGTCTTTGATATCATACCGTTATGCCAGATCTTCTCTACTCAGTGCTGGCAGGCCTGGTGCTGGGCTCACATAGCACATGGGTTGGAGAGAGATCTGTTTTCTAGCAGTAAAGGGGAAGTGGTTCCCTAGAATATGGTTGGTAGCCAGTGCTGGAGAAATAAAACCATTGTATGCCTTAAATATTGAGGTTCCTCATTCGGAATATAACAGCACTATCACCCTCTAGCCTCCTACAGATGTGATTACGAGCATTTCTTGCTTGGGACCCCGCAGTTACTTTCCACTGGACTTCAGGTGGCATCCAGAATTCCTACTGTGACCTGTGGTCTACAGGGTCCTGTATGGTCTGGCCCAACCTACATATGTCCTCAGCCTCATCACAATCCACTTTAGTTCCAGTTCCTAGGGGTCCAATCTCGCTGGACTGTTGAATGGCCCTTAAATTTGCTAAGCTGTGTTCCACCCCTGGGCCTTTGCACATTCTGCTTCCACAAATGCTCCCCCCCACACACACACATACCATTTCCCTATACCTTCATCTATAACCTCATTCTTCAGGCTTCTGTTGTAAGTCTTTCTATACTGAAACACTTATCTCTGTGAAGTTCCCACCAAGAGTCCCATCTTATCCATATTTATGCATGCATTATATATATAATCTTATATTCAATGGTAGGACTCTATATTTGTCTCCCCTATTATACTGTGAGTTCCATGAGGGCAAGGATAATGTCTGTTTTTGTGATTATCTCCCCAAGTTTCAATAAGTATTTGTTGAACGATTTATTGAATGGATGGATAGATGAATGAATGAAATAATGACACATGTCTCATTTCTCCCACATGTTTAAGTGATGTCACATCTGGGATTTGTTTGGGGCTTATTTCTGGGGTCTTTCTCAGGTTCAGGTAGGAACAGCTTTTCATAGAAAATCATGGTTGATGTGCTTTGGTTGTCAATTTTGCCTACTCTGGTGGGTCCTGTTTTGCATGTTTTATCTGATGTAGTTGTCATTTCAAAAAAAATAGTGGACATTCCTCATCAACATAGTGGCCATTCATTGGCAAGGAATAGCCCATAGCTGCTTTGTTAAGCTCAGGGCTCTGGGCATGACACTTTGATATGTCCGTGATCTTGACAGTGAGAGAACTTCAGCAGACAGGTCCAGCAGACCATTGGAAGAGTTTGTAGCTGGATTCTAGATCCAAATCCTGTCTTCACTGGCATCAGGCTGGGAGAGGCCATTAGGGGGATGGAGGAGGCTCATTTGTGGATATCAAATCAAAGAGGTATGTGGAACAGGGGTAGAGATAGAAGTCAGGGACCATTCTCCACGGAGGAATGATCTTTGAGCTAATTCTAGATTGATGGTCAGGGTTGAATTAGTTCTCCAGGAGTATGTGACAGGAGGTAAGGATGAGACAGAGGGCGTGGTGTGTATAAAGGTCTTGGAGAGAAGTCTGATGAAAACATTCAACCAAATCTCTGGAAAATTTGGATACAAACCCATCTCTTGAAAAGAGTGACCCTCCCCCTGTCCCTCAAATTTGAATTAGCTAGGTAATTGCTTCAATTTTGTGGCTGGGATCTACCTAGTCTAAGCATATGTTAGCAATCAAATGTAGATTATTTAGCTTATATTTAGGTAGGTAGGTAACAATGCGGTGTGAATTCTATCCCTTTTCTCCTTTCCTTGTAGGTTTTTATCAAGGGGTGTGTGTGTGTGTGTGTGTGTCTTTACATTCATTTGTCAGTCTTGCCCAGATACAAATGAAGCTCTCAGACTTGTTTATTATAAGAGCTTTGAGATTCTGGAGGGTTGCTGCCTATGGTGAATGTGTAGCTAGTGTGAAGACAGCATGACCTTCCAGGAGGGGTTCAGATTTTGGAATTAAATGCCTGGGGACAAGGTTCAACTTCACATGTGCTGACTTGTGACTTTGGGCAAGTCCTTTAACCTCTCTGAGCCTCAATTTCCTTCCTTCCAACTTTGGGCTGACAATAAAATTATTTGCCTCATTTGTCTCATAGAATTATGTATGTGATGTGATTTACACGAAAGAACTTCAAAAATTATGAGGCACTTTGTAAATACCAGGCATTATTTTTATATAGTAAATGTACTCTTAAAAAATGTGACTGGTTACTGCAATAAATGCTGTGAGTGTGGATGAGACCTTCCCAGGCTCAATGTCACTTGAAAGTTTACAATAACATATTTCAAATGTGGCAGCAATGTGGCAGCTAGACATTCAAACATTTCTAAAAGCAATGAAAATTTACAATTATTATGCTGCAGGTTTATCATTTACACAGTAGTTCAGTGTATAAATATTAAGGAAGAGAAAGTCAGTCCTCAAATAAAGACTGGTAAAACCTTTGATGTTTAGCAAGAAAGATATCAAAGTGAATTTTCCCGGGATATTTCTGGGTAGCTCATTTTGTAGTACACTTGGAAATTATATAACCTTAGAATTACTTTTCAGGATATAGTAATAAACTTTCTCAAAAAGTTTTATTTAACTAGGAAGTGGCTAGTATAACTGGGAGGAAAGGCGAACACATTCTATATGTAACAAAAGACTATCTCAAACATCAATTTTAAAATATAACAAATCTAAAAATGCTCGTCCAGGTCAATACTAAAAAAATTAGATCCTTTTGCTATAAAAATGATTTTCTAGAAACTCGAGTATGGTTCATATTAAAGAGGATGGGGGTGAATTTATTCAGCAACACAAGGCCAGAAAACGTTTGGTGGGTAGTACAAACTGGGTTATTGATGAATGGCAGGAATTGGAGTATAGAACTGGAACCGTAACTAACATCTTTTTTAAAAAGATTTTATTTATTTATTTGAGAGAGAGAGTGCACAAGCAGCAGGAGGTGCAGAAGGAGAGGGAGAGGCAGACTCACCACTGAGCAGGAAGCCCGATGATGTGGGGCTGGATCCCAGGGCCCTGGGATCATGACCTGAGCCAAAGGCAGCCGCTTAACCGATTGAACCACCCAGGCACCCATGGAACCATAATTAATACCTTGATAAGAAACCCACTATCAACCATTTTATTTTAATTTATTTTATTTTCTCTTTTCACCATAAACCATTTTAGACCAAGATAGTTTTTTGTTTTGTTTTGTTTTGTTTTTCCTTCTTTCCTATTTCTATCTTGCCTAGTTGGGACACTTCTTCCCCCCTTTCCTTTTGAGGCCCTCATGAATGAAAAGAAAACAAATATTAAAATACTATATGGGAACAACACAAATGACATTGGAAATGGGCCAACCACAAGCGATTGTGTTCATTGGCTTGCTGGTCAAAACCTCTGTCAGCTGGTGCATGTAGGAAGCTAAAGAATGTTTTCTTGTCAACTGAGGAGATCAAAGTTTTGGATCTTGAAAAGACAAGACTTTTGGAGTGGGGGAAGGCGCAGTACACTTCA